TTTACCTGCGTGAAACTACATTTAGAGCTGGCGAACGAGTGTTAAAAGACTTGAGAAATTGTCCCTGAAGAAGTTGAAAAGGGTAAGTTAGCCACATACGACTGCTTTTTCATCCTTTTGTACCATTGCTGTTGGCCCCAAAACTTTTCTTAGGATAGTTTAGATGCAATGTGGAATAACAATATAAAGGCACTAACTAAATAGCAAGAAGACAAAAGACCTAACAAGATTGAACGACAAAAAAATGCAACAAGCACGGCAGCACTTCCTAATCCATAGCAAAAAGACCACGCAAGCAGTTTCAGTTGCCTAATAGCATTTTATTCCAAATGACCATTTCCCTAGTCTGAAGGGGTCCCAGCATCGCATATACTATGATCCAATTGTTTCTCAGTTTCTCAGAGCTATTTGAACACCAGTATGTTTGTCATCACCCTAACTCCTCTTGTCACCATTACAGAATATGATTTTACATTCAATTTGAAGCAAATCAATGGTACTAAGAAGCTAAGGTAGAAAATATAACTGATTGCCAGAGGAAAGGAAATCAACCAGTTGACAATACATATCAGATGATGATGAAACCTATAGCCAAAGTATCTCAGAAAAGTCCAATATAATTCACATCCAATGCGAAAATCTCAGTACCTTCTCTAAATTAATACGATACAGATCTGGGGACGAAGCAGCACAAAACAAGTCACATGACCAGCAGTCATATTCAATATCTCTACCCATCCTGTAAAACAGACAACAAAGCTGCTCAAACTCTACATTCCTACAATTACATAAGAGAAGTCAACTAGATATCAAGAAATGTCCCCAAGGCTTCAAGGAACTTTAGTAACATTTTGTTACCTATGATTGTAGGTTACACGAAGTTATAGTTCCTGACAAATACACAAGCAAATACATGCTTGCCAAACAATGCCTAGATAACAAGGCGGTGCTATTTGACCTGTAAAGTTAAACAGTACCTGAAACTTTAAGTGCGAGTAAAAATAAGTCCTTTGTAGTTTTATATAAAAAAAACATTCTTCAAATTTTGAAGCTTAGAAGCTTTTTTATACAGCTCTGTTCAAGAAGATTCAACCAGCCATTGGGTTGAAAGTGGGGGCTGAAACATATTCTTTAGTTATTCCTAAATAAGCATCTACCTTTGGACAGACTTAAATTCCTTATTAAGCCTTTTGACATCTGGTTATGCTAACCATTTCCATCTTTGGAAACTTCTAGTAAACTTGATCCTTAAACAGAAATGGTGGCAGATAACATGCTCAGGCATAAAATACCCAAATGAATGGAAAATTTTGCTCCCATGGAGCTAAGATATACAGACTACTTGAAATCACACATCTAATGGATCTCATCCAAATCATTCCCTTTTTGCTTCTCTTACAGAAGAAAGACCAAAAAAAGGGAAAATGTGAAGGCATCAAACGGCCAATGAGCTTACAAATAAGTTATGTGAGAGCAAGAAGGCATGACGGTATGAAATATGAAGTATACAACATTAGTAGCAACATCAACTAACAGAGAAGAGAGAACCTGGGAATCCGCAAAGTGTAATGCTTTCCATACTTTGCATGTAGGCAAACAGAACGATCGGCACAAAGAAATGCAAGCTTTGAATAGTCGTCATCCAATATCTGAAGAAAATCAATGACAGTGTTAGAACTGGATTTGAACAGGCAATACAATAGTAAAAAGACAAAACAAATCCGAAATTTTCCATAACAAATCCAAAATATATAATACTATATGGCACCGATTAGAGGGAGCCGCAGGTGGCCCTTTAAAGATTTAAACAACGCTAACCTAGTGAATCCAAACATTGGTTCAACCCCCCTTCCCTTTTCTTTTACAGTTCATACGTGGGCCTATTTGTTTGTGATAAAAAAAAGTTCAGAACCATTCAATGTCACCAAAACGGAAATGTTCTTTCCCAGCATTCACTTAAATATAAATTCTGAAATTAAAAACTTCAAAACAGTGAGAGACCACCAAACAGACCGACCTGAAAATCAATTATCTCAGAGTCGAAGTGCCTTTCAAACTTCATGGATAGCTCTCTTAACTCGTAAACTTTGACTTGCGGGGGGTATATTCCTGCACTTCGGAAGAGGATCATTAGACTGATATTGGCAGTAGCCAGATGCTCAAGAAAACGAATGAATAAGAAATTTTTACACTACCTGAAGCGATAACATACTCTTCATTAGGTGTTATCTTGATTCGGGATGTAGCAGTTTCAAACCTCAGATCCTGAACCAACTCCACTCTCTGCTGATAATCTAGCAACACAAGCAAACAGGACAGGAAAAAACCTCAGAAAATAAGGAACTCTTCACAGATTCATATCCAAAAGGATTTAACAGCAATATATATCTATCAAAATGTAGTAGGCCCTAAGTCCTAACATATCAGTCTCGAGTGCTAGCAGGAAAGTTCTCATGTAACACCCCCTGTACACAGATGACAGATAGCGGTGATCCAAGACTTAATACCAACATCACCACGACACCTTTGATCAAAAGTTTCTTCCTTTTGCTCTAGTTTTTTAACTTCTCACCAACGATAGCTAATACGTCTTCACAACAATTAACAACCACAACCCGCCCATGAGAAAAAGAAGAAATATAACCCAATAGCTAGTTCATCCATCGTAAAAATCATCTCTCGATCTTCAATCTTATGTTCTTCCTTTAAGGTATAAAGATTTAAACTCAACTTGTTTCCCAGAGCAGCAACACACCACACCTGAGTCTATTGTTTAACCTTCTCCGCAGCAAACACAAAAAGAAGCGGGGAGAGGGGTTAACCTAGGGCTTATGACAAATTACTCCACCACAGAATTTTAGCCGTCCAATTACCAGCCACGTTCAAAATGAGAAAACCAATATGAAAATGCAAGGCTAACAAAGCCGCAATAACAGAGGAAGGGGGCAAGGGTGAGGAATCAATCATACGAGGGTCTTTGCGAAGAGCTCGTTTCTTCTTAGGGTTTAGCCAAGTTGGAAGATTGCGTTGGGAGATGCTGTACACCTTTACTCCATTGATGGAGGTGGACTTCAAGTTTCCTCCTTGAGTTGCCATCCGGACTGGGCTTTAGAGCTGACGTAAACGGCGAGCTGACAACCAAAAAATCAGCTGACGGAAGGAGGACGAGCAAGGAGTGGACAGCGGCGAGCCGGAGGGGAGGGAGGCGACGATGGGTAACTGGGAAAGCCGAGGAATGGGTGACTCGGGGCACAGCGGTGTCTTGGTTTCAACTTCCAAGAGCTCTGAATTCACAAGGGTTTAGCGCTTTAGGGTTTAGGGGAATAAGGTTAGGTTCTAACCCCTTGAGGTATCACCATTCACCAATTCACCGTAATAACTACGGGGATTTTTTTAAGAAATAGCATTGTTTAAAAAAAAATTCAAAAATAGCACCCAATTCCGAAAATTTCCAAAAATAGCATCATTTTCCAAAAATTGTCACCCGTACCAGCGTTTTAGGCGAAAACCGCCACTCGGAACGCATTTTTCGATGAAAACCGCAATGGTAGGGGCCGGTTTTGCAAATCGCATGGGGTCGTGGCGGTTTGGTTGCAAACCGCACCCCCACCATGCGGTTTGTTTGCAGACCGCACCCGCACCATGCGGTCGGGTTTTTTTTTTTTTTTTGAAAAATCATAATCTAGGTGGAAACTTCAAACGAACGTATCGTTGTGTTCGGGTATCCGATCGTCGCGATTTTTTTTTTTTATTCCGCATAACTTTTCGAGATCTTGCAAGCCAAACATTGCTGAAGGTGGTTTGGTCCCGCCTTCATCCCGAAAAAATGTCGTTTGCTACTCCGAACGAGCTTTTTTCCGATTTCGTTAAACTTTGGACAACCATAACTTTGTGCTCCAAAATCCAAACGACATGAAAAAAAAATCGCATAAATTTTTAAGGATTTTTACTTTTATCATAGACATAATTTCAAAATGTACGTGGATTGCTGAAAAGGGAAGGTAAGCTATTCCCAAAATCCTGTATATCCAAAAAGAATTCCTGTTTTGAAAATTCATTCCTAGTAAAAAGTGTAGTCCTTAAAAAGTTAGGCGAAATGAAAAAAAAAATTCATGAAGTTCGGATTTTGGAGCTCAATAACTTCAAACAACCATACTTTGTGCTCCAAAATCCGAACGTCATGAATTTTTTTTCATTTCGCATAACTTTTTAAGGACTACAATTTTTACTAGGAATGAATTTTCAAAACAGGAATTATTTTTGGATATACAGGATTTTGGGAATAGCTTACCTTCCCTTTTCAGCAATCCACGTTACACGTCAACGGTGAGTTGTTCTCCGTCTTTGACAAAAGCGGTGATTACTTCCCCGCTTTTCACCAAAATGGTGATGTTTTCACTGCTACTCTTTGACGTAGTGATATTCTTCACTTTCTTAGACGACGACAGTGAAGGTGAAATGTATGGATTTTGGGAATTTATTTAATAACGTGCAGTATTTTTCCCCTAAAAAACACCCAACTCAAAACACAAAACCCAAAGCCGAAGTTTTTAGGCTTTCATCCTAATTCCTCATATTCTATTGAATGATCCACAAGGATCTTATGCTAGAAGAACAGCAGCAACTGCTGTCATACATAGCAATCCTGGTCAGCCTCGGATTGAAAACCGTCAACAGAGTCGAGATGGACTGAAGTGCAAGACATTGCAAGTTTGAAACTAGAGCGTCATTTTACCATACGATGTTGTTCATTTATTTGATTCTTTTAGTCTGTTAAATGAAGATTAGTTGTTAATAAACGAATCCTACCAAGCCATGTGTCAGGCTCTGGTTTAAAGGATTCAAACAACAGTTAGCACTGTTGCTTAGCCGTTGTACCCTTCTTCTTCTATTAATACAAAATCCCGAAAGAGAGGACAACAGGTTTTCTACTGATCCTCCACCCCAATCCAGTTGTCTCTTCTCTTAGTAACCAAACGCCTTGCCACAGGGGTTCTCCAATGGTGAAAGATCCTCTAGTGAGCTCCAAAGCGGAGCTCAAGCACAAGCAAAATCTCAATAAGAAGGCAAACTCCAGCGGGTTCGAGTCCCTGAACCTGAGCTCCAATGTCTACCGAGGAATTAAGCGTAAGGGGTACCGCGTCCCCACCCCAATCCAATGGAAGACCATGCCCCTCATCCTCACCAGTACCGACGTCGTCACCATGGCTCGCACTGGTTCAGGGAAGACCACCGCGTTTCTGGTCCCAATGCTTGAGAAGCTGAGGCAGCACATCCCTCTGGGTGGGGTCAGGGCTCTCATTTTGTCTCCCACCAGGGATTTGGCTCTACAGACCTTGAAGTTCACCAAAGAGCTCGGAAGATTCACTGGCCAGTTTTCCTGCTTCAAGTTCCTTTACTTGGGATAGGTTCATGACGAGTTTTTGTGGCGTCGATTTCAACAGGGACGGACACTGGAATCATTGGATATTGTTATCTCTTATTAATTAGTTCATTTACTCTACATGTTTCCTTTATTATTGCCAAGCGCGGTACTTTGATGAAGTTTTAGCTTGGGACCTGATGCCTGTTATGAATTTATGAGTCCTTGCCCTCTATACTTTAATAGTTAGGCTGGCCAGCGATCTTGCTGCTATCATATTATGCAAGAATACTTTTATAACCACTTCAATAGAACAGAAAAGCACCATTGTCACTGTCTTAAGACATTATATATGATCCCCATTTCCACTGACAAAGTAAAGATTGTATTGCTCTGCAATGGATTTTGGTTTTCAAATGAAAGCCAGTAGTTGAAGTAATGAATGTCTGCATCTGAGTACTTCGTTCCAATAACAAAACTGGGATAAGCTTGCCATAATAGTGACCTCGCCTTAATTTGGTAGCTTAGTATGTGTATTTTCTCTATGGTTGCGCAATTGAAGAGTTCTCTCGTCTTGTTAGCCAGTGAGAATCCATTGTTATGAAGCTTCCTCTATTTTTGCTATTTCTAGATGTCTGCACAAGTTTGTTGGTTAACAGTGACAGAATGGAAAGTCAATTTGAAGAATTAGCTCAAAATCCAGATATCATTATTGCAACACCTGGTAGGCTCCTGCACAATTTGTCTGAGGTTGAAGACATGTCACTGAAGTCAGTGGAGTATGTGGTTTTTGACGAGGCTGACAGTCTCTTTGGGTTGGGCTTTGCTGAGCAGCTTTATAAGATCCTTACGTAGTTGAGTGAGAACCGACAAACCTTGTTGTTCAGTGCTACAATGCCAAGTGCCCTTGCTGAGTTTGCCAAGGTTGGTCTGCGTGATCCTCAGCTTGTTCGTCTTGATGTGGACACTAAAATTAGTCCTGATTTGTAGCTGGCCTTTTTCACCTCACGACATGAGGAGAAAAATGCAGCCTTACTTTATTTGACAAGGGAGCATATTAGTGCAGACCAACAGACTTTGATCTTTGTTTCCACAAATATCATGTGGAGTTTTTGAATACTCTGTTAAGAGAAGAGGGCATAGAGCCTTCAGTGTGCTATGGTGATATAGATCACGAGGCTCGCAAGATTCATATATCTAGGTTCAGACACGAAAGACTATGTTGTTAATTGTCACAGATATTGCAGCAAGAGGCATTGACATTCCATTGCTAGATAACGTAATCAATTGGGACTTTCCTCCTAAGCCCAAATTGTTTGTACATTGAGTTGGTCGAGCTGCTAGGGTAGGCCATACTTGGACAGCATTTTCTTTTGTTACATCTGAAGATATGCCTTACCTTCTAGATCTGCATCTATTTCTTTCGAAACCAATCAGGCCTGCACTCCCAGAAGAGGAGCTTGTGCAAGATATGGACAAAGTAATGAGAGAGGTGGATCAGACACTTGCAAATAAAGAGTTCTTGGTACTGTAGGTGCTTCTAGAGAGCTAACTGACTTGCAGAGAGCACGTGCTAATGCTTTTCGCTTGTATAGCAAGACAAAACCTTAACCTTCAAAGGAGTCCATTAGAAGAGTAAATGATCTACCACGAGAGGGAATACATCCAATCTTCGTAAAAGCATTAGGTGGTGGTGAACTGATGGCAATGGCCTTTTCTGAATGCCCGAAGGAATTTTGGTAAGTCCAAAAAATGAAAAAATAAAATAAAACGAATAAACGTTTTTCTGCCATCTTTTGGATAGCCTTATTTTGCTTTGCAAAACTTGACTCTGCCACGACTGTATTGTATCAGACCCAAGCAGACTATATTGGAGGCTGAAGGTGAAGCTGGTAAAGCGAAGACTGTTCGGGTAACTATATTGCGTCTTGTAAACATCCATATGTTACTGCATATTCTTGAGTTATATTTGATATTCTCGGAGCACTTCCGAATATGTTGGAGATATAATCTTACGGGTTGTTTGCTGTTTTTTATTGTGAAAGATGTTCGCCTTTTATGTAAGAAACCAATACGTCATAAGTTTGACCAGAGTTGTGCCAAAAGCAACAGCGAAACAAAAGCTTAGGGATTTTTTTTTTTTTTTTGCCATGAAAAGCTTAGCGATTGTTTATTGGCAGTGATATTCATTATAGTATGCAATTAGAAAAATGCAAAGTTTTTTTTATATATTATCTCTTGGGACTTTTCAGCGTAACTAAAATAGTAAACTAATCTATGCACCAAAGTGATGAACTTCCAAATATGGTTAGGAATTGTTCACATACATTTTAGAGAAGTGGCCCACAAGATTTTTTCCCTCACTTTTTTGGCACAAGTTTGAAGGTACTGAACCAAACAATGGGTTTATCAATACACCAAGTTTAGTATCATGCAAAACAATGAGTCTGCAACTGTGACAGATAGCAACAGTCTGCACATAGACCAAATGTAGCGCACCCTTATCAACTATCTTAAAATCTATATGTTTCTTGTATATTTGGAATGTTTTGCATATTTATGATGCGTTCTTGTTGGTACTCAAAGATTTTGATTTGGCTTCTTCTGTCATTTTTCTTGATGATTTTTATGTGTTCTCAGTCAGAACTCTTTGAATGAAAATGTGTCAGAGCTCATCTGGTCAGGTTGATGTGATGAAGAAGAAAAGGGCGATTCACGAGCAGGTTATAAAGTTGGTGCAAAAGCAGCGATCTACCAAACAGGTGGAAACGGTAACTCATGTTGCATCTGATAAGACCTGGATGTCACTTTTCAGAAAATATCTTACTGCGTACGTTGCTGTTATATAATTACTATTTCTTGGTCTATTAGACCAGGGGAACTGAGGAAATACCTTACCTTGGAAAGTACATTTCACAGTCTAGATGTCTTTTTCCTGTCAGTGAGAAATATACTAGGTATCTTTGCATGCGCACATCTCATTTCAAAGTATTAAGGATTTCTATGTCGAATTCTCATTCCTACAGTCAAGGTAATACTATAAAATGAAACTTTTGGTTTCCATGACAGTCTCTCATATATACTCTTATTTCCCATTGAGTGCGGAAGGTCGTGGATCTAAAAGAAAGGCTCAGACTTCAAGGATGATGAATTCTTTATTAGTTCAGTACCCACAAACAAGGTACTCAATCTTTTGTTATCTTCTATATTAGTCTTGAAGGGCCTGGGTTACGGTACAAATCCAATGGTAAAAAAACTACAACACCTGTGTCTTACCACCCAAGACACGAATTATACTGCCCCCTGATATGATCGTGTCAGGGTGGTGTGATTCATATTAGATATGTGACTTCTTTGGTCTTCATATCTAAAATCTCTTCCGGTTCCTCGTATGTTCACCGCCTAGAGCATCTATTTTGTTACAATTTGAAGGAATAAAACGTCTGTATTACCTAATAATATATTTTTTATTGGTGAGCAGATAAATACAGAGAGTGGTGCAAAGGTGACGGCCACAAAGACAGGGATATACAAGAAATAGAAAGACAAATAGCACAGAAAAGTCTCATTCAGAGAGGATCACACGGTGATGGCAATGCTGAAGAGTCTACCAGCATATCAGGTATTTCATGTGAAGTATATTATATGGTCATGTTTCGTTTGGTGACATTTGCCGACCCTATCCGTCCACCTTATTTCAAACCAGCGTACTGATCTGTTCACCGATGATCTGTTTGCAATTCCAGGAGACAACAACGATAGACAATGGGGAAAGAACGGGAAGTTCAATGGCCGGAACAACAGCTCAAGGTCGGTGCCTAATGCTAATTTGCATTCAGAAATCAAAGATCTTGATCAAGTCCGGAAAGCACGGCAAAAGAAGGCAGACCAAATCTCTCATCTGAAGAGAAAAGGCTCAGCTAGAGGAAAGAAATTTGGTGGGAAAAATGGAAATAGAGGAAAAGGCAGGAGGTGAAGGAGTCCATTTGATGATTGCTTACCATACACAGAAGGGTTGGTATTTGGTAATAGAGCCCTAAAAGATAGAATGGAAGCCAAGCCTTAGCCAGGGCGGGTAAGAGTCTGAAATGTGGTGTTTTTCAGGGGAGCGAGCCATATGATGCAAGAGATACTTTCTGACCACTTGAGAGTATTGACCTGAATGGATAAAGATTATTAGTGAATCATTATATGTTCTCGATTTTGGCTGGGGCCAAAGATGGTCTAATTAAAGATGCCGAAGTGTTGATTTGTTGGTAGCTAGTAGCTCATCTTAAAATCTTATTCTGCATCAGTGACCGTGGTGATATCATCACCAAACCATAGCACCCAACTCCAAAAATAGCACTGTTCAAAAAAAATAATTCCAAAAATAGCACCCAACTCCGAAAAATTCCAAAAATAGCACCCTTTTTGTAAAACCGCCACCTGGAGGTGCGTTTTTCGATGAAAACCGCCACCCGGGGGCTCGTTTTTCGATGAAAACCGCACTGGTAGGGGGCGGTTTTGCATACCGCACCCACACCATGCGGTTTGGTTGCAGACCGCACCCCCACGATGCGGTCAGTTTTTTTTTTGTTTTTTTTGTAAATCCTAACCTAGGTGGAAACTTCAAACGAACGTATCTTTATGTTCGGGTATCCGATCGTCGCGATTTATTTTTTGATTCTGCATAACTTTTTGAGATCTTCCAAGCCGAAGACTGCCAAAGGTGGTTTGGTCCCGCCTTCGTCCCAAAAAATGTCGTTTGCTACCCCGAACGAACTTTTTTCCGATTTCGTCAAACTTTGGACAACCATAACTTTGTGCTCCAAAATCCAAACGGCATGAAATTTTTTTTATTTCGCATAAATTTTTAAGGAATACAACTTTTATCATAGACATAATTTAAAAATGTACGTGGATTGCTGAGAAGGGAAGATAAGCTATTCCCAAAATCCTGTATATCCAAAAATAATTCCTGTTTTGAAAATTCATTCCTAGTAAAAATTGTAGTCCTTAAAAAGTTATGAGAAATAAAAAAAAATTCATGTCGTTTGGATTTTGGAGCACAAAGTTACGGTTGTCCAAAGTTTGACGAAATCGGAAAAAAACTCGTTCGGGGTAGCAAACGACATTTTTTGGGACGAAGGCGGGACCAAACCACCTTTGGCAGTCTTCGGCTTGCAAGATCTCAAAATTTTATGCGGAATCAAAAAAACAATCGCAACGATCGGATACTCGAACATAAAGATACGTTCGTTTGAAGTTTCCACCTAGGTTAGGATTTTTCAAAAAAAAAAAAAAAAGCAGAACGCATCGTGAGGGTGCGGTCTTCAAACAAACCGCATCGTGGGGGTGCGGTCTGCAACCAAACCGCATGGTGTGGGTGCGGTCTGCAAAACCACCCCCTACCAGTGCGGTTTTCATCGAAAAAGGCGCCCCCGGGTGACGGTTTTCGCCTAAACCGCTGGTACGGGTGGCGGTTTTGCAAAAAGGGTGCTATTTTTGGAATTTTTTGGAGTTGGGTGCTATTTGTGGAATTTTTTTGTTAACCGTGCTATTTCTGGAAAAATCTCCCCTCCTCACCCCATCTTCCATCGCTGGCGACTCAAATCCCAACAACCTTTCATCTCCCATCTCTCCCCTAAACAAAAGAAACTCCTTCCCATTGATTTGTTCGTTTACTTAGAAATCCCCTAAAACCATCCATTCTTTCCATTGATTAACTCTTGTTCAATCCTCCTACCGCAACCCTCAATCTCTCTTTAGCTTCCACCACTATCCTCCATTCTTCCCACTGCACCCTCAATCTCTCTGTTGACCTATCCTTTATACCCAACAATGAATTAATCCAATCAACGACCTTCTGTCTTGCCGCATCATCAATGTAAGGATTGAGGCCATCGCAGACCTCCAGCCGCTGCTACCCCGTATTGGATCTGTGTCAAAATTGGGGCTTTTTCAATTTTTGCTTTCCTGCTTGATTGAATGTCGGATTTGAAACTGGAGGGTTTCTATGTTGTATGAAGTGGGCTGAATTGGTCGTTGGAGGTGGCGATATTGCGACCGTATCAATGGTGGAGATGGGGAGTTCGAGAGCGAGGAGAGGAGAGGAGGCGGGAGAGAATGAGGTTGCGGAGAGCGGCAGCGGCATCGACGATAGAGAAGGACAGATCATGGACTGTTTGAAGAAGGTACTTAGAGGGGAAGAAGTTTGACGGGATTTGTGGAGTTCATCTCCATCAACGAACACAAAGAAAGAAGGGTTCTGAGTTTTTGGGAAGAAGGCAGCTAGAAATCAAGTTGGATTTGGGTTATGGAAGGAGAGGCACTGTTGAGGAAAGAATACAAGGGCGGCTGAATTTCCCCTCTCTTTCAACTGAGAAGCCGATTGAGAGAAGCCGATGTCAGGAACTATTGCCGGCATGGGTTCAGAGGAGAAGACGAAAGGGACGATGGCATAGGAGGAGCATTTTTTTTATTAATTTATGATGTGTAATTATTAAATAAATTTAAATTATGAAGTGTCATTTTCAGTCTATTTGGCGCTGACCTGTTCGCAGAATTGGAGGCTAGTTAGCAAACTGTCAAAGAAGTTGACGGTGTTACTAACACCGTTAAGGTATATAACGGAAATGGCTAGATTTGTCATACAACAATTTTAAAAGCTGGCTATAAGTGGTATTTCTCCAAATTGGGTTATTATTGGCACAAACACGGAAGTTTTGGCTATACAAGTGTATTTTGCCAAAAAATTAATACTTCAAAGTTGTGATTTTAAACAAAATGACAGTCTGTCAAAAATGCAATATAATAACCAAACAATTAATTTTTCATCCAGTTAAGCATTAGTTAAACACTATTGTTGATAGGGCTGGGCATGCGGGCGGATCATCCGCGGGTTAGGGCCGACCCACCCGCATTTGACCCGAATTTCGTTAAGTGGGTGGGTTTGTGGGTGGGTGACGGGTTGCGCTGGGAGCCATCCGCCGGGTGGTGGGTGGGTTGTGAGTGAGTGTGCGGGTGACCCGCTCAACCCAACAGCAAAAATATCAAAGTCGTTGGCGCTAGAGAGAGGAGAGTGGAGACGTTAGATATAAACTCGGACTGGTCCTGGAGTTTGAACCTCGAAGCCAACCTTCCAAATAGAGATCCCCTCTTCTTCCCTTTACATTTCCCTCTAATTCTTGTGGCTAGATCACCGCTCTTTCCTTTGTGGAATTATTTTCATTAGTTCATTGCACCTAATAATCGTCTCAATCTGTAGAAAACTCTTTCATCATAGAATTTCTATCCAATTTAAGAACTAATTCAACATTTTCCCCCTATTTCAACTTCTTGTTTCCCTCGATGATTCTCTTCACCTATTATCATGTCAAGTTGACTCCTTTATATTATATACATTGTGATGTAGGTGAACCCACAAACCCACCCGCATCATCCACCATCCGCCCGACCCAACCCGAGACTAAATGTGGGTGGGTGGTGGGTTAAAAATTATCAATCCGTTTAAGCGCGGGTGGGTGCATTTTATGGTCAAAATCCACCCGACCCACCCAATGCCCACCCCTAATTGTTGATGTGGTAAAAAGTCAATCATTTGATCGTGCTACATGAATATATAATGATCTTAATGAGTCTCATTACCAAAAAAAAAAACAATACAACATTTATAGCCACCAATTATCTTTTGTCCATTCCAAAATCTTTGATACCATCGTCAATAGCCAGTTCCATGCTATAGGATCTGCCCTCTTCGTCATCAGTAACAACAACCACCTCATCGTTTGACAACCTTTGCCTCATCCCGTTGTTGCTTTTGCCCATATAATCACCCAAACAAAAATCAGTTTGATCCAACCACTGATACCATTGATTAACATCACCTTTCATGTAATACGAAGTGAAATGTACCTTATGCTCTTATGAAGTTTCTTGAAATTCAAAGGGATACAACAATTTTTTTCATCATATCCAATAACTTCTTTCCATTTACTTATCCAATTTATCCCGATATAAGTGAGAAGGATATGACATGTTAGGTTATATGGTTAATAACTTATCGTGCTTCTGCCTTTTCCTTCTCTTTCTCCTGCTTGCCACTACGAAGTTCCATTGCCTTCCAAAATTGCTTCTCTCTGAGTTTGGCATTTCAATTGTTGAAATAGCATGGGCTACCCCTCTTGGGAAAAAATCCCAATGTACACACGTTCTTAAAAAAATTTTCCAAAATACATAAGTTATAAAAATTTTTCCCAAAGTACACATGTTGGGCATTCACCGTTTTTGACAAACGCAGTGAAGGAGATCACCGCGTTTGACAAAGACGGTGAACCCTTCACCGTTTTAGTTCACCGTTTTGGTTTAAAACGGTGAATCAATCACCGTCTTTGTTTAAAACGGTGAATACTTCACCGTTTTAGTCCAAAACGGTGAAGCGACGCGGATCGCCGACGTGGACAAACGCGATGTATTCACCGCGTTAGACAAACACGATGAATACATCGTGTTTGTTCACGTCAACGATCCGCGCCGATGTGCTTTCACCGTAGCCGTTGGATGCGGTGAGGCGCGGATCGTGGTTTTCTTCCCACGATCCGACGCCTCACAGCACGCCACGTCGCCTTGGCGGAACCGTTTTTGGGAGAAGCGATGCATTCACCGCGTCCCTCAAAGACGGTGAATGCTCTCCAATTAACTGCTGCGCAGTTCCTCCCCCCTTCCCCCAACTATAAATAACCCCCCCCCCTCCAACTTTCAACTCACACCACAACCATTTCACTTCTTTCTCCCTCAATTTATCCGCTCTAGTCTCAATCTAAGTATGCTCTGTGATTGCGGCTAAGTCCGATCTTCCACTTCAGAAAGAATTACTAGAGTTTGACCCTAAAGCCCCCGTCCCGCTAAGTTCCCGTCCCTTACAAACCTAAACCCGTCGAACCTCTGTCCGGCTTCCGCCAAAAAATGGACAAAGAGGCTCTTCGTGTAGGTTTA